AAGTATAGAGGTTGTTCCGTTTAGAGAGACATAAAAATTTCTGTTGTGAAGGTAACTAGTTATAATGTGTAGGAGTTGTGCGGGGGTGTTTAGTTCGTTATCAGAGCAGAGTGCCACAGAGTCGAACGCTTTCTGGAGATCCAGGAGTAGCAGTTGTGTAATTCTATTTTTATTGCGTTCCATAATGATGTGCTCTGTTACTTTTTGAAGTTGCTGTATACATAAGTGTTTGTGTCTGAAGCCAAATTGTTGAGATATGACGTGATTATCGTCTAAATATTTGAGGAGGTCGATGATTTTTTCTAATATTTTTCCACAAATGTTGAGAAGACTGATTGGCCTATAACTATTGATATATGTTGCTTGTTTACCAGGTTTAAGTATCGGAATAATTTTCCAGGCGGATGGAAAATAAGTAAGTTTGAGATATAATAGAGTTGGATGATTGGTTTGTTTGAGACAGCTTTATTATTAGGGAATTTTTTTGATTATTTCTTTGATGATTTTAGATGTACAGAATATAAGGTTTTAATTTGGAAGGGAGGTTTCTTCGATGCGTGCTGTTTTTTGATGAATTTGTTGTTCCAGAGGAGACTGCATGTTGTATGCGTTCAGATGAATCTGTTCAAAGCTACTTGCGAGTACTTTGGTCTTTTTGCCTTGTCAGTGTAGTGAAAGGTATTATGTAAAAGGTTTTGTCATGTAAAACAGGGATTTTGGTTTTGGCGCCTTCAATGATAGATTTGCCAGAGTGTGGGATCGGTGTTCTTTATATTTGTTAATTTTTGCTGCCAAGTTTTGTTTTTCATATGGAGTTCTTTTTTGTGTGTTGATAGTAAGAATGTTTCTATGGAGTTTGTAAATCGATTGCCGGTCTTTTGGTATTTTCTTCTCATTCTGTCTTTGATTATTTGTCAATCAAAGGAGCGAATCTGAGCTGAGGTTTATGTTGTGAGTAGGTATTACTTGTGTAGTATTGCGGAATACCTTCTGGATATAGTACGTGAAGATTTGGACTTCAAAATCGATCTCATATTTGTCGGTTAAATTAGGATTTATGTTAATTTTGTTGCAAAGTTTTGCATAAGCGGTGCGTTCGGTCATTGTCGACCTTCTATCCATCTTGTGCATATATAAAGATAAAGATAAAGATAATTGTACAGGGAGATGGTTGGATGATAGGTCATCGATAGTTTGGCATTTATATGGGTATGATTCATTGGATAGGAATATATCTATATTTGTGGGTGTGCAATTGGGTTGTCTGTGGGTGTAGATTAAGCTGTGTATTATTAGATAATCCTTAAGTTCAGAGTGATTTTTAACGGCCGAACCGTTAGTGTTTCTAGTTAGGTTATTCCAGATATGGTGTTTAACGTTGATATCTCCACCGATGTTGGGTATTGGGATAAATGTATCTAGATTGGATTATTTTGATTTTAGATGTAATATAAGCAGTTCCTATAGATAAGTGAAGATGTGGCTTTTAATCTGATCGAGATGAATTCTATATTGGAAAAGATGGGTTGAGGAATATCTTCTATTTGAATGTCTTTACGAGCGACTATGAGTACTCCTCTAGTGTTTTTGGAGATGGTGGGAGATCGATCATTTCGACAAATATAATTTGAAAGTATCTGAGGGCTCTAACCAAGTTTCGGTAATGGTGGCTAGGTCAGTGTTATGATCGCTAAAAAATTTGTGTAGTTCAGTAGTTTTATTTTTAGTATATTTTTAAAAGTGGCCATTTTCTAATTCTTTGACCATTTATATTATGGCTTTGACTCTATAGAGGTTATTAGTACATTTAGTGTAGCATTTTTGTAGTGTGATGATTCTTCAAAAGAGACCGAGGTCAGCTGATTTTAGTTGATCTAATTGTTCAGTGAGATCGGACTGTCGTGTTGGTCTATTGATGCTTGTGTGTATGTCA